GTGACCCTCAGATTCTCGGAAACCCAATGGTCGGATTACTCTCGCTCGCTTACATGTAAACCACGGATTTTTTTTTTACTGTTCACTCGGCAATGTCGGAGTGAGTTGAACGTTCACGTGACTGTGTTGAATTATTAATTCATGGGGACTGGCAATCCCTGCCAAACAAATGTCTGTTTGTTCCCTGTTTGTTCCTCGTCGGTCCAGGCTACAGCCTTCCACACTTGCCGTAGTGCCTCAAAAAAAAATGCATATGCGGTGTGAAAGGATTCTCCAGGGAATGTCCCGAGCAGAATGTTTAATTTTGGCCCAGGGAAGGCGGTACGAACTGCCTAATTTGGCTGTGAAACACCAAATTCTCACGAAAAGAATTCATGAGGGATGAACAGAGCACAAAATAAAAATTCCGTCCGGGACATTCCCTTTGAAGGTCAAAGGGCTACTGATGCTACAGCAGGAATCCGGCCAGAATGTTGACAGCTGAGGCTGTAGGATGGACCAAAGGCAGTCCGCCATCAAAACCCTTTACGTTGCCAGTCCCCATTTAAATTCAACCATCAAGAAGCGCGCGCATTCCTGGTTTACGCGGAGACTTTCTCGCCGCTGGACGTGGTATGCCAACGGAGCAGTGGGTTGGAAGACTCGGCATCCAGCGAGGACGCGGAGGCCGAATTACGAAGATTCCTGGGAGACCTTCCAATTTAAATCGCTCAGTCTGCCCAACTCACGCGCGTTCGCTGTATGTGATAACTTCCCCCCAGCGTAGAGTCACATACGTCAAAGTCACCCAAATGCGAAGACAGCATGATAATCCTCGAGCGAGCCGACGCGCGCTTTTCCGAGTCGGCATTTCTCGTGTATATACGTGCTTAGATTTTACATGTCTGCTGTCCGCACTATCCTCGTTACCGGGTCGAACCAAGGCGCATTTCTCTCTTTCATAGTCATAGATGGTAGAATATTAATCGTCCGCAATTCTAAGGCAGTTTACCCACCGCGGCTTCCATTTCGGTCCTATCGTCTCCCATGCACCCTGTCAGTAAATTTCCGTCTGAAGTTGAATTCACGCAACGCGTGGCGTTTCCTGTATGGTAGGGTATCCCTTTCCACCATACACACTGTTCTCGCTCCTTGAGCAACTTATGTAAATCTAATTGCCTGAGTCTGTTGTTTCGCCTTCGAAAGGGTTTAGCCAGAAACAGCCTCGGGGAGGCTTCGGAGTCTATTCGCAGACGGGACGCGAGATGCCGGAGTTGAATAAACACTATTTTAAACTCGATAAATGTGGCATAGATTTTGTTGAGAGCCGAAGCGAAGCGTGAGCAGATCTCGCTCAACATTCAACTTCACGGTGGAGCTGTCAACTGGATGATCTCATTGGAACTCTGCCCGCCAATCAGCTTTATCCAGAGTCTTTTCTCATATATATAGCCTGGTGGCGTCTGATGCCCGACATCATCCCAACCACAAAGCATCGCCTTCGTCCCCGTTTCACAGCGCTATGTATACTTCAACCGATTGTTAAACCGGTACCAAGTCTGCAGTGCCAGAGATTTTTCAAATAATTAACGTCTGTCAGTCAACTTCATATAATGCCACAAGAGACGAATTTCAACATCCCGCAGACCCGGCGTCTGTGTTCGTAACACTATAGATCCAATACCACTCCCCACCCAAATCCCAAGTTCCATCGCTCCAGTCGTTCTCGATACACTGACTGAGGATGTCTGACACGGCCGCTGCGCAGTTGGTGGGGCATGCGCCGCCGGAGAGCACCGCCTGGACGTGCACGATATCGCCGACCTTTTGGTCGAAGGTTCCCCCGCAGGCGAGCTGTGAGCACATGCGGTCTGCGACTCGCTGCGCGCAGCCCGTGGCGCCCCCGTTGACCTGCTGGTTTGAGCAATCGGCCGCAGACGCGCGGCCGGTGAGACGGGCGAGGAAGAGCGCAGTGGAGACGAGTTTGAATGCGACTGCGAGGCGAGGTGATGTGGTCAGTTTAGGCTGTCGTGACCGCATCTAGAGGCTAGAGCTGCTTACTTTTCATTATTTGAGGGCCGGAGGAAGCACGTACGATGCTGTCAAGAGAGATGAGAAGTGGGATGCTTGGATGAACTCTTGTAGGGTGGTTGGTTCGTATATAAGGGTTAGGTTTATAATTATTCCTGCTCCTGCGGACAACACGTCCCCGCAACCCGAAGTAGCCGGACGAGATCAGCGCTCACACTGCCTTCGTCTCAACGCTCATGAGGCATTCCAGAAGATCGAATCCATTGGGGTGGGGCAGGCATTCCGAGAATAATTGCAGCCAGAGGTCCTTTTGTATCCTCGCCGAACGCCGGCTCAAATCAATCAACACATAAAACGCGTCCGTAATGGTCGTCTTCCACAATGTGGCTAAACCACCATCATGCACTTTACGCTTTGGATTTACCAGCCGAGCCGACGTGTTGCTAGGAAGTACCCGCGGGGTTTTCGACTCTACGTGCGCAGTCCCCCATAGCTGAAAACTTGAGTCGACAATACCAACAAATATTATCCAACCAGTAGCTCGAGAATGTCTTGGACAAATAAATCATTGAACCCGATTCCTGTGCTCATTACGTAGAGTATACTGTGTGCACTGCCCTGCCTCCTCCGCCCTCCGCTGCAACTCGCCTCTTACAACACGGGTATTCTCGGTGCGGTCGATATCCGCTCCCTGCTCTGTCACCTGAAACTTCTGAAACCCGCCACACATTTCATCACTGCAACTCGACGATTTGCTTGAATATTCCTTTCGTTTCGTTTTCCTTTTTTCTTTCTCTCTCTTCCTCTGATACCTTACACTTATCATAATAACTCTCCCCCCCGAATTAGAAACCCGTCGCAACGGTGGTATACCCTCCTGCGCTCCCCCGACAAAACACCGCTTTCTCTCTATCCTCGCATTTTTCTCCTTTTACTGTCTGGCTTCCGTACATGAAAGTCGTATCTCCAATTACCCATTTCGTTACTTACTTTTACCCCCTTACTAGTTTATTTAGGGTACTGCCGCGTAGCCAGGTACGACAAAAATAGAACTTCAGTTCAGTTCGGGAGACAACTTGGAGACAATCTCTGTACTTCAATCTGTCAAATAACGCACCAAGATCAGATTTATGTAGAAGGATCGCCTAGACCCAAGGTTGGGTCATATTCAAATCCATGTAGAACGGAAGTTGAAGAGATCTCGTGGTGTTCGATCTACATCTGCATCTAATATTAAACCCCCGTGCGATGCGGGACCACCTGGTTTGATTCAAGCGCTGCCAGCTGGGTCATGATTCGGAACTACTTTTTTGTCCCCTCATAAATGGACTAAATATCAGCGCCTTTCAACTTGCCACTATCCCGAAATGAGAGTAAATGGGCGGTGAGCCCTCCGTTGCCGATCAACTTTCTTTTCTCACTGCCGACGGTCGACTTTCAAGCACCGGCGTATATGCGCTATGTGCTAAGTTTTATCACAGACGCCGTATTAATATTCTTCGAAGAGATGGTTATCACAAAAACTTCAAACCCAAGATCTCCTATACTCACCCCAACATGCAGAATGGATGCCATGCGAGTCCTACCCTGTTAAATCCCCGCTCGATGATCCCCTTTCAAACAATCCTAGACGCGACTTGCTGCGCGGGACTATGTCCTAGGATTATTTTACACGCATTCGAAGCCGTATGTAAGCGAGCGGAAGAAACCACTTAGTTTTCGCGAACTCGGAATCACAACGGAATCGTGCCAGCCTGACCCACACTCAAATCTGGAGATCTCGAGAGTGTTATAAATTGTCTTCGAAGTAAGTAATCCTCGTGCGTTCATTCACACAAGTCTACCCGTCTTCACCCCCCAGCCCGACTCCACACAGCTCGAACTACGCAGATCCGCGAGTCCTGACTTCTTGGCTCCCCGAATACTGCATCTAAGTTTAAAGGAAGACTAACTTGAGCTCAGGCTCCCTGCTGATCGCCGCTGATCTCCCGGCATCCCTCGCAGCCTGTGCACACAGGCCAACGTTTTCGGCAATCGTAAGCAGTTGCACTTCGACTGATGGGTTGAACTGACACGTGACGGGTGTTGAATTCGAGGCCGACCAGGACCCTGGTTCATCGGTTGGGAGGTCAGATGCAAATTTCGGCTCTCCAAAAAGTTTGTCCGAGCTTTTCACGGTGGCCAGGGTCAAAGTTTTGTTCGAATTCTGCCTCTAGCGGGCGCTCGGTCCAAATGTTGCCCGAACTTTGTATCTGAGCCAGAAAAATCCTTGAAAATTCGGCTTATGACATAAAAGTGTGGGAACGACTATCGGCTGAGGCAAAAGCAGAGGGATTCGAACCGCCCCCCCTCATAGAAGGTGCGTAACAACGGTAATATTATTAACAACCACTAGACAACTCAACCAATCAGAAGTAGTCATGATGGATACTCTCATGTACAAACTGCTGTCCGATAACCTCCCTCGTCCCTGCTCCCACTGTCCGAACTTTTACTTTTACTTCCTTCCATATTTCGTCGGATTTGTCCGAACCTTCCTCTGACCTTGGGTCCCCAAAATTTGAAATTTGTCCGAGCCGATAAACCAAGGTCCTGGTCGACCTTGAAGATGACTCGGCCGGTGTCAAGTCTAGATGTATTTTCCAAGGCAAGCACTCGCTCTAGGGCTGTCTGTATGCTTGCCCTTCCTATCTGTTGCTTTAGAAGCAAAACCCGCATCCTTATTTCTGGCTCCGTTTACTTTACAGGGTGGCTTCGCAATAGAGGGCTCTACAGAAGGAGGGAAAGCCCAGCGTTTCGTCAGCCAGGCGGAGTAGAGCGGTGAATTAGGAGGTTCAACTTTGTTCCCTATGAGGCTGGCGTATTTTAGCGTAGAATAGGTGATAATGACGTTTTGGCAACCTTGTCTCGCTTTGGGGAACATACACAAACGTCGTTAGCTCTAAAATACGTATGTTTTCGAGATATCGAAACAAAAGGCAAAAGAAGAGTGCGCCGGCCGGGAGTCGAACCCGGTGCTAGGCCATAGAAATCAACGGGATTTTTTGGGAAGACCCAATGTTACCGATACACCACCGGCGCCACGATGAACGGTGGATTCTTTCCAGCATGGACATCAGATTTATATAGAGAGGGTTTCTATTTCCTAACAAATAAGATGGTAAAGTTGATACAATTGATAGCTCAGTGAAAGCTTTTTTTCCCGCATCATGATCGAGCAAGGACATCACTTGGTGCCGTGATTGCCGAACCCAACCTATTTCAAGCTAAGCTTCAAGTGTTCAACCCAATTTACTTTTCGACGAGCCTCGGGTGACGAGAATTCTTACCCAAAACCTCCCTGAAAAGTGACCAACGCCGCTCTGGACTTGCAAGAATCAAGTTAGCCTTTTCGGTTCAACCCCGTATTGATGTACCAGTAGTACCCGTTGTGGAAAGCAATTAAGCGGCACCGCTCAATTTCTCTTTGGATAATCTAGGCCTCAGCGGGAAAGGCTCGATTATTTTGAATCTGGATTATGCGGCTCTCGCGGAAGCGATCGGTCCCCTGCTATAGAAGGCTTATATTAAGTTTTATCGACTATCATAAAACTCGTGGAGTCTGACTACGGGAGACTAATAAAAGGCCCTCTGAATGCCTATGATCAACATGGCCTCAGACATCGCTCTCCCTGCCCTCGGTCGGTGGGCACAACAGCATTCCCTTTTGTCGTGGCAATGACTGCAGCTGCCTTCAATATCGCGTTCGACCACTTCATCGCGTCCAACGCAAATGTAACGCTCAACGGCGAGCATCTCATGCGGAATTCGTACAAGCACTGGCTTTTCAGTGGAAATTCTCCCTGCCACGTTACTTTCGGGCAGGTTTTGGAGGTTCTGTCCAGCTTGTACGTGCGATGATTCAGAGAGCTTCGATGCTGACACAAGTGATGTTCAGGCTGGCGTAGTGAGCCTCCATTATGACTCGACTTGTGGCTCGAATAGTGTTATTTCGTCGGTGCACCTGAGATACGTTGAGAGCATGATTTTGCGCGTTCCACTAATATCCTCGCCCGCTCAAGGATTAATCGAGACGAAGCCGCGTGCCCAAACTGTAGGAGGCGATTGCGGTCTGCGAA